AGAGGAAATGTCATTTTTCGAAAGTATTGAAAGGGGCACCATGCTTCTCCCAACTTAGTATACACTTATAGGGCTTTTATAGGACAACACAAAATACAGACAGATAACTGTAGTGAGTTCTTGAAAACTAGTGTGCTGATTTGATCAAGGTGAGAGTACTGGGGTGATGCATCCCCCTTTCTATTGAAAACGACGCACCAGTATATCTTCCGTATGTGTGGCCATAGAGAATTGCGACTTTCGTATAGCCCCATTTAGGTATAGACAGTGCCATACTATCAAAATCAGTATAACTTACGGAAACAGAAAGCTATCATTGTTCCTCCATCCTTTTGACTCTTCGACTGTCCAGCTTTGTTGCTTGCACCTTGCTATGACTCATTTGTCTGTACACCTATGAATAGTTTCATCTATATGCAGTCTCTTTTGAGAACTTTAGCCTTTCTTGCCACGTTGCCAAGATGCGTTTGGGCAGACGTGGGCGGCAGATCTCTCTGAGTTCCAGGCCAAGGTCTGTGTAGTGAATTCCAGGCCAGGGATACATAGTGAGACCCTATCTCAATAAACAAAACAAAACAAGGTGCATTTTGTGATACACTTGTATCAATAGAGTTTTGTTGATGCAGATTGGTGGGTATTTGTAGCTGTTTGGAAAAATCTCAATTTTTTTTTAAAGTGAAATAAATATTTCTGCTACTATCTCATTTTGTGTCCTATTTCCTATTCTAGTTTTAAGCCGTTATTTATCCTTTGTTCACAGCTAGGACTTTAGGACCAAGCTTCTGAATTTCAGCAGAATTAACATTTTGAAATGAGTAGATCTTTGAGGTGGAGAGTGACTGCATATTCTATGAGTTTTAACACTGTCTCTGGCTGCCAGTCTGACAGGGCTCCTGCTTGCTGTTTCTGGCAACCTAGTCATCTGCAGATCCCACATCAATCCCTGGTGAGATAGCAGGGTCATGGTCCCCACTGAAAAATCTTCATTTGGGAGGAGGAATTGATAGGAACATAGAAAGGTTAAGAATATCAGGACTCTAATTTGATTGTTTTGTTCATTAAAAGTATGTAAAGAACCTTTATATATAATAAGAACAGTTTGTTTATCTATTTTTATTTCATGCTGAAACACAAATATAAGACAATAAAGTAGGTCTCCTGATTAATTAAATCATAAACTCTGTACCAGGATTAATGAATTACTGTGTTGGAATTTTAAAATTGAGGTGTAATAGAAACTCTTTAAAATCTTCTCATTTCTTCTTGTTTCTCCTCAGCTATTGTTCCCTCCCATTCTCTCACAGTTGGAATTATTCCATGGCCAAGACTCTCTCAGCAGCTCCCCTATAATTCTTGTTAGTTAAATTCCCCTCCTTCTCCATTTGCATGTAATCTTTCAAAATAGAATAACATCAGACAGTAATATATAATGTTAATTGATGCTCCGTGTGTACAAAACCAAGTTGATTTAAGATCCTACATTCCTCAAGTATTTAAAAATTGTAAAAGTAAATAAATACTATACGACATGAAAACTGAAGAAATAAATCTCTGCGTTTGGAGATTACTTACATGTCATCAGCCTTTAGCTTTCGTTTTTCCTCCAGATTTGACTGTGTTTTCAAATCATCCCCTAAGCTTTCTATTTGTAGTTGATAAGCACAGTGACTTACTGACTTTCTGATCAAAAGGAATGTTGAAGGCATTTGTGGGTTTCCTCTTTTTTATTTTCTTTCTGTTAAATTAATCTAATATTGTTTCTGTTATGTCTTCTAAGATGAACTCCTTTCCTTAGTATGCAAGGTCATTTAAAGTTAGACTCTTGGGCATCAGAGGAAGGTCCCCACATGTTGTCCACACTGACAGAACTAACTGCAGCTCATACAGAGCACACTGCAGACCTTCTATTTAGGTAGGGGGCGGGGCTGGTTTTTTTGGTTGAAATGAATACGTTTCCCTCTATTTTTAGGCTGGCTCATGTGAGTGCTTCAACATGAGAGAGAGTATTTTTCTCAGGAGGATCAGCATTTTATGATACCTACTGGTTCTCAATGTCAAGAACTTAAGTTCATTGAATACAAGTTTATTTAACAGTAATTATGATAATAGGTTACAGATTGTATGTTTACTGTCCCTCACCAAGCCAAAGAGACAGACTGCCTAAAACGTCAGCCCTGTTCCAACTTACTCATTAGACAAGTCCCTTTCATCTCACAAAAATGTCCCTTTTCCTTAGACACTGTGGCGGGTTCTAGGCCTCTCAAGAGGAATTCGAGGCTCCTTTACGTCGTTCCTTTTCAGAGTTCACAGTCAGGATGGTTTTAACAGTGTAATTAAAACATACTGTATCTGGCATAATAAAACTAGGTGGAAGAAGGATTATACTTTCATGTATATATGTATAATTTCTTTCTTGAAAAGTCAGGGTGTGTCTTAGATAGGGTTTTACTGCTGTGAACAGACACCTTGACCAAGACAAGTCTTATAAAGGGCAACATTTAATTGGTGCTGGTTTATAGGTTCAGAGGTTCAGTCCAGTATCATCAAGGCAGGAACATGGCAGCATCCAGGCAGGTATGGTACAGGAGGAACTGAGAGTTTTACATCTTCATCTGAAGGCTGCTAGCAGAATACTGGCTCCCAGGCAGCTAGCACAAAGGTCTTAAAGCCCACACCCACAGTGACACACCTAATCCAACAAGGCCATGTTTGATCCTCCCGTTCCAGTCTCCTCCCCATCCTTCCATAACTTTCTGTTCTATTTCACTTTCCTAGGGAGATCTGCCCCTGCTGCCACCTTATCACTTACTTTATACTTTACCTCTGTGGTTCTACAATTGTAGCTTAGTTATCATTGCCTGGACAGCTATTATCCACATATAACCCTATCCATTCATATTTGTCTTTCTGGATCTGGGTTATCCATTTTATGAAATAAGTAGAAGAGTATTGGTATTAACTGCTCTTTGAATGTCTGGTAGAGTTACCCACTGAAACTATGAGTTTGTTTGTTTCCTTGTTTGTTTGTTTTGTTGTTATTGGTTTGGTTTGGTTTTGATGGGGGAGGGAGGTTGAGAGACTTTTAATCTCTGCTTCTATTTCAGTGAAGATTATAACTGTGATTAAATTGCTTATCTGATCTTGATTTAGCTTTAAGAAGTGGTATATATTTAGAAAATTACTTTTTTCTTAAAAATTTTTCCAATTTGGTGTACATGTTTTTAAAGTATGTTCTTATAATTCTCTGGATGTCTACAGTGTCTGTTTTTATGTCCCACATTTCTTTTCATTTCTGATTTTGTTAATTTGGTCATATTTCTCTCTCTCTCTCTCTCTCTCTCTCTCTCTCTCTCTCTCTCTCTCT